GGTGTCTGTAGGTGGTGCTTCTTAGGTACTACAGTTACCTACTTATTATCTGGTGATCCGTCACCTAATGATAAGATAGATAATGATGGGATAACAAATAACAAGTTTAGTTCTGTTTAGTTAACCTAACGCTAAAATCATTTAACTATTCAGTTAAAAACATACAAATATCAGTCAAGAGTAAAGATTAGCCACAGATAATACTTTAAATAGGTAGTTATGCACTATGGGGGCGCTCTGCCGTCTGTCTCGAAAATATTTCAAGGATTAATTAAATATAAATTTCGATGAGATAGCGAGAACATTCACAACTCAGTTGAACTAAGGCTATATAACACTCACTTATATAGGTACTACTTAATATTGTTTAATTAACGTTGAATTTTTCTAAATATGTATGTATTTTTGGCTCTTCAAGTTCTGTAAACATGTCACTTAATAGCGCATGTAAAGATAAAATTTCTTAAAATATTTTCGACACTGCTTCCCCTTAACCTAACTCCATTGATCGCGACCACAGCCGAGCAAAAGGTGTTCATTGATTGATCCTTTCACTCCATTGGCTATGGTTACTCTAAATTCCCACAAAAAAAGAACGCATAGTAATCAAAAATGAATGAAACCTTCCAATCTTTCCAAGTTTGCAAGTAAAAAAAATTGTTATTGTTATGTTCAGGATCGATAGAGTCAATTAACGATTAATTTAATTACACAACTGTGTAACTCTTATTAAGTCTATTAGGTACTATAATATTTTTTTTATGGAGGGAAAATCATCGAATGACTTCTCCCGCTTGGGTGAGGCGGGAGGGCGTGTCAGACTCTTACTGACTAAAAACCACCCCGTTCCTACTCCTGCACTTCGAGCCGGAGCCCCGGTAACCCGTTAGGTTCTCCGTAACATTAGGTACTACAATAAGACTATATTTAGTGCAAGAATAAATCTTTTATACTTATTTTTGTTCAACTTTATCTTCTTTGATTTACAACCCGATGTCATACTTGACAGTTACTAACAAACAATTTAAGCAATATATATGTGAAGATGGTTCTTGTTTGTAGAATTCAATATGTACCTAAATAATCAGATCCTAGCCTAATCATACCTAGATCACAAACTTTTTACGCAAATTCACTTATGCACAAATATGCAGTCAAGTCGTTGTAATAAAATAATTAAATACCTACGTAACCAGTAGGTCCTTTAAGCCCTAATTCCTAAATTCATTCATAACATCTTAAACGCTAAACGCAAACCAAAACAATTGCCATTCATGACAATAGACCACTTGACTTCAGAGCAAGTTTAAAAAAAACATTGAAATCTTAAAAATGAAGTCTTCAAACAGGACAATGAAACGTCACATACATTGTATGAAAGTCCCCAGTTATTGTACTCCGTGATTTGTAGGATATTGAAGAAAGGCAGGACAAGTGGGCAGGCCTGTGTGACCGTGGGACTGTGGGACGCTCACCTACAAGCCTTTTACCGTGGGAACATATGAATAATTGGAGCTTTGCATCTTCGTGGAATTTAAGTTGCTAAATATAGTCGAAATCAAGAAGTCTACATGATTTAGACTGTTAGATAGACGAGTGCCTAATTAGGTGTCGCCTATAACTGCAATTGAATTTACTGAATAGCTAAGTAATTCAATCGACTTTATTATCTAGGTATTTACTTACTTAGGTGCACCTATCTAGGTGCAATTTCTGAAATTGGATAAAAGGTTTGATAGTAAAATATCTACTACTACTACGGTACTGTGTATACTATACATATAGCCTATATAATATCTAGGTAGCCACTTATCAGCATTTACCATCTTTCTACGTATATAGTACTATGCAGGTACTTAATAGCTCATTACACGGACAGAAATTCCAGTCTACCGCGATACGCACGTTTATTTGACGCCATTTTTTACTTTAAGCACAATATTTAAAGAAGTCATCATGGCATCATGGGGTTTCTCGATAAGAGATCAGCCATTAATGCCATCCAAAGTGTGTATAGTTAACGGAAGGGCATTTTCATGCAAAATTTAACGATTTACACATTCACTGGACGCTTTTAATACCAAAAATAAGTACGTGCAGTTTTTTAAGCATCTTCATTTAGTCTGATGAGTGTAATCATAATATAATTTAATAGCAGCCCCCACTTTACTTTTTCGTAAAGTGAATATGCACCGGCAATTACTTAGTAATGACGGCGTAACGTTAATTCAACTGTAATTTATCGCTCACTATATTGTGAACAGATATGATATGAATAATATCGACTTGTTGATAGGGTTAAATAAGAAAATGTATTTCTTTCTATGAGTTCTGAAAGGTCGGTGTTGCAAATAATAATAATATTTATTTATTTCTCTCATCATCATTTACATAATAAAATATACCAAAAGTTTTACAACTAAACCTGAGACTGGTGTCTGTTGTAGGTGAGACCTGTATCACAGATCACCAGAAATTGCGTTGTTTCACGCCGGGTTTCACTGAGGCCGTGGTCACTCTGGTTGAACCAATGCATTCATGCTAAAGCATGGATGACCCACGTGATTGCCTGAATGTTTAGTGTAGGTTGATATAGGTACCTACCCACTTACTAGGTGGTACTCCGTAGTGTTGGAGTAAAAATAATGAGTCTGTCTACTAATTTCCAACCTTGCGCCACGTTCATGAAATAATATGTACCTAGGTACACTTTAAAACTGAAATGAATACTTAGAACCAATTTTCTCTTGAAATAATTGCTTTCTAATCACGATTTTCTAGAACTCGAATCCACGAACACAGAACGACTTCCACGATCTCATTTGTCAACCAAGTATAGTCATTAAAATACTTTAATAGTCCTTGTCTAGTCCTTTATGACGTTAAAAAGACTCCCTCTTCAGTGAACACACTATTTACCGAGCGCAAGGTAAAATTATCATTCATTCGAGAAATGGCGTCCATTATAAGGTAGGAACGCGCTATGACAAGCAGTCAGTGTCCTTAACGACGCCGGCGCATTTTACTTTGATCAATATTTTTTGACTTTTTCACTAAGCTGGAAATTGTTTGTGTTGTCATTAATGAGACAACATTGTTGAGGCGATGCCGTACTTGAGTAATGTAGGTAGGTACCGTAACCATCTACCTACAGACCAGTTTTGAGAGCACGTTTTAAGCTCTAAGGAAATACCCATTAGGTAGCTTTATGCGTGTTTGATGATACCCACCTCACCAAGTACCATCACATACGTTACACTAAGCAGGTAAGATAGCTAAGTAGATTGTTCAGTGAACTACCTACCTGTAACTTAATATCTGCATGCTGCAATGCTGCATACCTTAAATAAAAGTGATCAATTTAACATGCATTCGTTTCATGGCCTAACCGTTTCGATAGTATGTAGGTACATTTATTTTTAACTTTTTTTTTTTTTAAGGGGGGAAAATCATCGAATGACTGCTCCCGCCTGGGCGAGGCGGTAGGGAGTGTCAGACTCTTACTGACTAAAAACCACCCCGTTCCTTCTCCTGCACGTCGAGCCGGAGCCCCGGTTACCCGTTAGGTTCTCCGCGACTCCGAATCGGATTTATTTTTAACTTAGGTTTAAGACATCTTTTGAGCACTAATAGGGTAGTTTCATAAATTTTATTTTAATGTCCGTCTGGTACATTAATTTAAAACTTTAGACACGTTGTTTTTCTTTTCTCACAAAATTAAATACTTTCGACGATATATTAATTTAAAATATCGTGTGACGTCACAGCATGCCACATTATGTAGCACGTTATGACGTAACAACCTCCACCTTCTAATCTTAGCGCCATTTTATCTAAGTATTGCAAGTTTGCAACTTAATACGAGAAAATAAAAAAATACGTGTCTAATATTTTTTTATTATCTAACTGACGGACTAATTAGATTTTTAATTTTGATACCCTGGAAGCTACCCAAGTGTCGATGATGTTCTAAAAGTAGAAATGTTTTTAGTTGATTATCCAGGTACTAGTTAGTACCCGATAGTTTGGGAGTATTAAAGAATATTTATGGCTTTATGACCTATGACGGTGGGTCTAGTAGTAATGAATAAGTTTCAGAACCCCTATATTAGCAGTTGAGCGTAAATAATAGCATAATTCAACGCACGTGCTCAAAAATGTCAATCCATTCAATATCAATTTATTGATGACAAAATTATGAATACGCATATCGATTAATCGAGTAAAAAAATGACTTATAATTTTAAAGTTACCATGCAAAAAATGCACAACCCCTTTTAATACATTTTCAAAAGAACAAAGCCATCGATTCCTATCAATAGATTTAATTTTAAATTCATGAATATGCAAAAATGACAATTAATATAGGTAGGTAGGTAATCAATATTGGTTTTGATCTTGAATTTTAGTCGAGTCATGTGGCATTCATTAATCGTTTTGTGACATATGAAAAAAAGAATTGGAAGGGGTAGATTCGCATCACACCTGCATGGTCCTCAATGAAAGTAAAAAACGATTACAATACATCAATGGATAAACAAGTTAGATAGGTTGTAAATATTAATTATCGGATCAATAAGATAGAAAACTTCGATTATTTAGGAAACATGATTATTGATTGATGGTACCTTCCTTAGGTGTGAAGTTGGGTTTGAAATAATTGTGTTGAACATAATGTACAAAAACACTTTTCCTACAAGTTTATTTTCGACGGTATCTCACAGGGTCCCTATTTTTTAAACGGTTTTATTTAGCTTACCCCGTTTGTTTTAGTATATTAGTAGGATGTGAATGCTCGGCTTTAGTAGACGTACATACCTAGCAGTAAATTATCTAATAAGATCATGCACGAATGTGACGGAAGCTCAACAATTATTTTCAATTTTATTATAAAACGTTATATAGTTGAAATTCTATTAAAGAAATTCAAGACTTACGTATGACTGAATGCTGTTGTTAGAACTACCAGTTCAAGGATGTAAGAAAATAAAAAAGTAAAATTTAAAAAACCAGTCAAGCTTTATTTATAAAAAATCCTTGACAATAATAAAATACGGCAATACATACATCACCAAATGCACAATTCTTTGAGAATACATACATTGTCTCCCCTGTATAGTATAACATTAATATTCAAAGATTTATAACTCTTTTCATTCTTTATTTGAAATAAATGCAATATTAAAGTTTCAGTACAGAGGACATCACAAAGCGACACATTTAACAAGTTTATCAGTTAAAAAGAAACAAAATCCAAAAACTTAACCATAGATTGACAAGACTTTCTCAAATATACTCAATTTAATCTGGAATTTACGAAGTTTTTTTTATTTAATACTATATTTTCCATAACTAATTTTTATATTTCCCGCCAATGAGAGTGCATTATAAATTAATATGATTGGTTGGTCAACCTGTCAAAAAGCATTTTGACATTAACTTGACCGATTTTTTTTTAATGATTTAGAAATTCGAATACAGGCTGCTTTCATTCACAAGACATTTTTATTCATTTGATCTCGAGTATTTTGAAAACTAACAACTTAGAAAAAAAATTAAATCATGCGAAAATTAGCAAATAGTTAAATAGGTAACTAAAGTTTGGAGATCCAATCTTGCAGACTCTTGATGTCGGCCGGTGTGTCGTCATCACCAGTGTTAGCTGAGCTCTCGGCAATCTCCACTCGGTTACTAAGATGTGAGAACTCAAAGTCCTTGCCAATTTTGCCGAGGTATGTCGAGTTGTTGCTTTGGGAAGGATCCACAGATTGAAGTTGGCTGGATTTTGTGACACGCACTAGGTTTCTGAAAACAATTTTTAGTCTTATTAGTAGAAAGAATAAAAAAATATACAGAATTTACATAAATAGACTGAGATTATAAAATCTAACAAAATATACTACACTAGCTCACTTACATTAATTCCAACAAGTATTATAAATGTGAAAGAAAGTTTGTTCATTTGTTTGCAAATCCTTATGCATTATTTTCTTAGCCAATTTCCATAAAATATTACATACAATTAGTTGTGAATATGAATAAGGACTAAGGTATGTACGGGACACAAAACTGCGATGCAACTTCGCCTCGCAAAAATGTGCGAGCTTCGCATCGCGCATCAAAATCTTATATTCCCAAATTCATGTCACAACCTAGTTTTCAATATAAATATGTTTAGTACGGTTGACGGTCGTCGTGACACTTAGCAATATATATTCTTACATTTCCTTCTCCAGCAGACTCTTGATGACTTGAGCACCCTTAGCCAAGGGTTGGTCCTGTTTGTTGCACAGAATCAGAACTGGAGTGCTGTAGCTCTGCACCACTGGGTCCGACAGTATTGTATATAAGTACCTGTAAACATGTTTATATTATAACTTTCATGAGACATACTAAATTAATTATTATGTTTTCGTCTCACTCATGTAACTGTTGGACGAAGTAAGCCTCTAGCGTGACTTGAAACTACTCGAGTATGTGAGTACGCCGAAAACATAATTATTGGGTAGTTTCCAGAGTATCAAAATTAAAAATCTAATTAGTCCATAAGTTAGATAATGAAAATATATTAGACACGTATTTTTTATTTTCTTGTATTAAGTTGCAATACTTAGATAAAATGGTGTTAATTTTATGAGTGGTCGTTACGTCATAACGTGCTACAAAATGTGACACGCTGTGACGTCACACGATATTTTAAATTAATATATCGTCGAAATTATTATTTTTTAGAAAAAATATGTGTCTAAAGTTTTACATTAATGTATGTAATATTTCAAAGTTTTTAGCATAAAAATAAAATTGTTGGCTGTGTTGTGTTGTATAGGACTTTTATCCAAATGCCGCTTTTGCCATTTATTCTAGTTATTTACTTTACTTTTCCAATAAACTTAGTATTACAATTTATCAATCTACATAAATTAAATATTTGAATGCCACGGTCCAACAAAATGTGATGTGATACATAGCAGTTGCCTCAGCCGACAAGAACATAATTATGTTGTTTAAGTACATTTAGTTTGTTGGCTATAGCCAACCGCAGCAACCAAAGGGTTAAAGAATTCATTTCTGACAATAAAATAGATTTAGCCACATGAATTGTTATGTAATTTCTTCTTTAAGAAAAAAAAACCATAAATTTAGGCACAAGGATCATGTTATTAACAACACTTACTCAGCAACATCTCGGATCTCCTTCTGAATGGTGACAGAGTCAACAACATAGACAATAGACTTGGCACTGTTCTTGTACTGCTCAAAGAATTTGTTTCTCAACCTCTCCTGGCCAGGCAAGTCCACAATTTTCAAGGCATCCTGAAAATGTATTCAGTTTAGAGTTTTTAGTGGATTTCATATCAAAAATTTCACATTTTATTATACTAGGTCAGGTACCAGGATGTATCCAACATTATGGTCTCAAAGAGATTTTTCATCAACCGATCCAGATTTACATTTAAACCTTAACTCGTTGCGTACCGTCATTATAGACACAATTTAAGAACAATAGGTTGCGGTCATTGGTGACCGCTCGGTGTTTATCAGTTTAAACTGTCAAACACCGAGGGTCCGAAATTGTGTCTATAATGACGGTACTCAAAGGGTTAATACATACTAAGGCCTAAACTACAATAACTAATGTTTTCTATACTGTTTGTAACTTACATTGGAAGTAAGATATTCCTCAACATTCTCTTTCATAGATGTGAATGTCTGTCTGTACTGAGAGTATGCAAGTCTCACAAACAACAGTGTTTTACCCGAGTCTGAGAGGCCCATTAACAATACAGATTTACGAACTTGTCGCCTCCTTGAGAAGAACCACCAAAACACTGGAAAAAAAACAACAAATTTATAAATAAGAAAAATTCTAATAAGAACTTATTCAATGTATGGGTAAAGTTCAACTGAGTTCAACAGATTATATTAAACTTTATTAGCTTATACAGCAATATGATTTAATTTAACATAATTAGAAACCACTGAATATTTATGTGCCATGCTGTTGTCTTGCAATGTTGGCACATATTTTGTGCTTAGAAAAAAATGTGCAAAACTGCTAGGAGCTTTCTGTGAGACGGAGAATCGCTCAAACAGGGAAAATCACTAGTATATCATCCGAATAAACATATGAGTCATTAATATTATTTTTCTGTCAATTATAATTTACTTACCAAGGGTAAAAAGTAGGACTATTACACTTAGTAAGGTTATATACCGAGGATCATTCAACATAGGCTCTGTATGAATCTTTTCCTTTATTACTTCGGACTCCATTATTCAGTTTTTCAATTAAATGTGTAAATATTTTGTAGTTAAAAATAGATTTCGACGTAAAAAATATTGTCCAACAAGACTCCAACACACAACTTTTCAAATAGAGTTGTCAAATGTCAGTCGTGATTCGTGTTGTCAACCAGTCATTCGGTCATTGACATTAAACTTATCAGTTTTTAAGTTTTAAGTTTAGTCGATTCTAACTAGATGTCATTTTCAACATACGTGTGCAATTTGGGCCTGTTGGTAGTTGTGGAACTTGCGATTACAAACGTGTTTCATTTATTCCTATTTTTATGAAGCACATTAATCATAATAGTCCAATTATTTCATAAGTGGCATAATCTGTGATTCTAAACTTTTCTACACCAACATTTTATAATTGCTTGTTTGTCTTCAAAATGTCACTGTTAGATTTGTCAAAATGTCATTGTCAATGTAATGTGAATAAACTTTGAATTCATCGCCATCGCAAAGTACTTTATTTTTTATTATTTTTATATTATTTTCCGACAGTTGTTATCTATTAAATCCGCTTAACGCAATATACGCACACCAATAAATTAATAAGTCACTACCAGACCTGTTACATATTGCTCACAAATTACTTATCAGTGTTTGTTATCATCTTATAAAGAGCGAGATCGTTGAACAGACGAACAGTATAGACGTATAGTTTTCGGTCATTATCAGTTACAAGGCTTATTTAATTATTGTAATTTAAAGTTCATTCAATGCCAGTCTGTGAAATTGATTATACTTAGCGTGTCACCATTTAACTTTTTATATACTTGTATGGGTTTCAAGAGCTTGCTTAGTTTATCTTATTCTTGCAGTAAACTATCATTAAATAACTTTAGAAACATGAGCATCGATATCGGAGGTAAGTTAAAATCCATTAACTCTAATTACGAATAAAAATCGAACACTATTCTAATGTTTTATTCAATTTATAATTGAAAGGTATGAGAATTAAATATAAGGATAAAGATGACACCTTTCTGGAGAAACATTTGGTGTCCAAAGAGCCTTTTGGGCAATTCAAGGCATGGTTTGAAGAAGCTTGTTCTAGGAAGGAGATTCTAGAACCTAATGCTATGTGCTTGGCAACTGTTTCCAAGTAAGTACCACTTTATCTAAACAAAACATACATTGATAGTTTTCCACTATTGTTATCAGTTATTGTGTCATTCAATCACCCATTGTTTTTACAGAGAAGGCTTTCCTTCAGCAAGATTTGTGTTGTGTAAGGGATATGGAAAAGATGGCTACAAATTCTTCACAAATTATGAAAGCAGGAAAGCTAAAGAAATGGTTTGTTTATTATTTATCTATTGAAAAACAATGAAGGTTCCAAAATTAAAAATACTATTGAGTACTTTATTTTCTTTTGTTATCTTTTCAGAATGAGAACCCTAATGTGGCAGCAACATTCTACTGGGAAGTCCTAAACAGGTCTATTAGGATTGAAGGATCTGTGGAGAAACTGGATGAGGCAGAATCAACAAAATATTTCCACTCAAGACCTGTGCCCAGTCAAATAGCTGCATGTGCAAGTTTTCAGAGCACTCCTATTGAATCAAGGGATATCTTGTGTGAAAGAGAATCTGTTTTAGAACAAAAATATTTGATTCCAGAAAAAGAGGTTCCAAAACCAACCTTCTGGTAAGATTTTTTTATTTCTCTACACAAAAGAGCTATCTTGTGCCCACAACATGTTGTCAAAATAAATGACCTTCATTATTGTTTGTTGAGTCTTTATTTTTAGTTGTTTTTGTCACATTCTTATTAGAGTTGTGATTTATTTATACACTTTATATGAATCTGTATTTTGTGCTATTACAGAATCTACTCTTACTTACTCTTTGATTCTGAACAGGACTTTTTTATAGTGCCAATATACAATTTGTCAGCCTCTATTCCTAAAAAAGGATACATTAAGTCCTAATAGCTTTAAGCATGTTTTTAATAATTTCTATTTAATTTTAATAATTTCAGGGGAGGATACATAATTCGCCCAAGAGCTGTAGAGTTTTGGCAAGGCCAAAGAGACCGGCTTCATGATAGAATTAAATTCAGGAAGCCCAAGGAGGGAGAGGTTCCTGATGGAAAGCTCTTGCATCAGGGAGATGATGGCTGGGTCTATGAAAGACTATCGCCTTAGAAACTTCTTTTATTTGTAGTTGTAAGACCAAAACCGTGAATAGTGAATTTGTAGTGATTTTATTTATACCATTTATTGTAATCAAGTGAAAATAAATGTGTTAAGGTTTGTTATGGTTATTTATGTGTGATTTTCAATATTTCCCTTTGTATTCCTCCTGTGCTCTTCCAACAAACTTCACAGTTTAGTTTGCCGTTTTGTTGCAGCTTTTGCTCAAATTGTCTTACGCCACCGCCTACACCAAAGTAGTATGTTTTTGCCGCAACATAAGCTGCTCCATCTTTGCTCAATCTACCCATAAACAATGTGATTAGTTTCTCATAGTTACATTCATTGTAAATAGTTTCTGATGTTAAGATAATGTCAAAGAGTTCAGAACTAGGCAGTAACTTGTTGAAGGAATCCCAGTCGCCTGAGTAGAATTTACATCGTTTTATTTCTTTTTCTCTATTCTCTTCATCTTCAATATTTAGTAAAACATTTGGTATAGTAAAGTATTCCAGTACTTCTTTATTCTGAAACAATGAATACATAGAAATAGTATTTATACAGTGTTGTAACCACAACATAGAATAAATTTACTTAATAGTGATCACTAATATGATCACTATTAAGTACATACTTAACCTCTTGTCTGTCGATATATGAGACACATAGAAAATGCATTGTGTCTTGTGTAGATCTACATTCCGACATACCAGAGGTTAAAAGGTAATTAGTGACAAAAATTCATAATAAAATACTTACATAATCCTGAAATGTAACATTAGAATCATTTAAAAAAGCATAAATTCCTAAAATTCCAGCACCACATCCAAGATCCAGGACATTTTGATTCTGAAACTTTATTTCTGTTTCATTTTCTTCTAAATATTGAATTAAATCATAAGTGCATTCCCAAATTTTCAGTCCACCTGAAATGAATATCAATATAAAAATAACATTGTTTTAATAGTTATTTTTTTTACAAATTGTTGATCTGTATGCAGTCAGTCTTCCACTTGCCTTCATATTTCCCGGCAATAAGATCACTGTGTTCTTTTTCAGCTAATTCTACGGCATTTTTCAATCCACTCTCCTCAATACTAGCTTTCGCTTCGCTAACTACAATATGCCCAATCTCGACATCCCCACAGGCAAACATTTTAGCATGAGTAACTGTTTCATCGATACTTTTTATTTGTTTATCTGGAACTATTTCTTCGCTATCCAGCCACACAATGGATTCATTTTCTTTAGTTTCTGTTGAAAGTTGAAATAATAATGTACTTAGTGTATGGTGCTAACTAGTGCTAGTAAAAGTAAATAAAAATAATAAATTAACCTTCTAATTTGTTATTATCTTCACCAGAAAAGTTAAACCTAAAGGTAGTCATATTATTATAAGTTCGCAGTAGTAACACAGTATTCTTGAAAACGTATTGTACTATTCAACTAAGAATACAGTATTATGCATAAATCGTTACAATAGAAGACGATACCGCGACCGCGTGTTTTTGTTTACAAGTTTTGCAACGCAAAGTTCTTACTTCTTTTCTTTCTGAACTACTTACAAGTTACAATTTACTTGTCAAATCTGATGCGCGAAGTGGAAGTAACAATAATTCTGGACTTTATTTATTATGCAGTAAAGTACTAAATCGTTTCATATTATTTCCTTTTACCACAGATTGCATAGTAATTTATATAAAATTATTAATGAAGTAAAATACAGTTGCCACCTTTTTTCAAAATGTGAGGTTAGACCAAAATGACAAATATTATTTTAGAAAAAATTAAAAAGTTTGTTATGTCACACTGCCATAACGTAGTAAAAATATTCTAATAAATTGAAAACAATGGATTTAGTTTCAAGGGAAAGCGCAACATTAAAGAAATCGGTATTGACGTATTTGTATTTTTTTTAGTTTAGTAACTCGTTTTACTACGGCGAATGAACGCTTCGAGACCTACAACAAAATCACTTCAATCATTCATTCATACACGAGTTGTTAGCGTAAAAAGTTGTGTGGAAAATAAAGTATTTTGTATCAGAACCATTAAGAGGGATTAATTTCAGTTAAAGTCCCATTAAAAATAACATTAGCACAATGACAGACGTCGCGAAAAAGGTAAAGCCATTATTAATTTTCGTGGTTCATCGCATTGTTTGACACGAGTAACGTTCTTTGATTAGTGTGTGTGTGACCTCAGTTTTCTGCAGAAGTGCGGTTGAATAATACTGTTTTACAGTATAATCTCACTGTTCTCTTACGGTCAACGTTGAAAAGATACCGGAACGTGTAATTGTAACAATGGGAGCTGTAGGTATTGCTTGTGAGGGCGCATAACCTCAACAGATTGTGCGATCGTGGGGGATCATAGGCGTAGCAACGGATAATGGCTGTTGTAGGATGGCTCATATTAATCGGCACGTGTATTGCTTTTAGGTACAAGACTACAAGGATTCTTTAAAGCAGAAAGCCGAGCATCTGATTATCAAAGGATTTCCAGAGAAGATCGTAAAATTGAATGAACTTCTAGAAACATCAAATTTCCAGAATCGCGATTTAGCTGATGTACATCAGGTATAGTCTATTTTTTATACTGTGATCATGTGAAATTAGGATACGTTTATAATATTCTTACTGTAATCATGTTGCACAAGGTTTATTCTTGTACTGTCACAATGTGTTTAAATTGATTTGCCATATTATTATTACAAGGCTATGACTACATAGTTCATTCGAAACTAATCAATAAGTTCTACATTTTCTTTGTTCCTGATGACAATGAGCTCAATATGTTTTTATTTCAGGACTTAAACATTCCAGTGCCACCTCCTGCATCAGCAGCGAATGAGCCAAATGCCAAACGTCCACGGGTGGACTCATCAGAGGTGTCGAGCAACTCAACTCTTCATGAGGGCACACGAGTGTATGCCCTGCCTAATGGTACAGTGCCATGCAACAAGCCGCTTAGTGACCTCATTCATCTTGTAAAACCACACATTAGGGAACTGGTTGAAGATTCAAACTTGGTAAGTTGTTTTATTTTACAAATTTGGGAATGTAATAAAGATTTGTTCTATTTACAATGACATTATGGTAGGACTGACAAGGAACACAAGTAAGCCACAAGAGGATTCATTTTGTGAAGGTGAAGCTTGCATAAATCATCAATTCACAGCCTGGTGGAGTCCAGCTGGGCATAGGCCTCTCTCAAATGTTTCTAATTTGATTAAAGTCTTATTGTGATGGCTATTTCCTACAAGTTGCATTATATTCTGCCTAGAAGTAGAAAAAGTTGTTTTTCAAACCTTTTACCGTCCTACTACATATTGAGGTAAATGATAAAATTAAAAGTTGGTTTTGTCCATTACTTCTTATTTACAATAGTTTAATAATAAATGTATGTAATAATGGCAGACTAGACTATTCAGTTTGATCACAAATTAAAATGTACTTTAGTGTGCTTTGATAGTGGCCTATGTTAAAAAATGTTACCTATTAACTCAACTATATCATCACTTGAGATAACCATTAGGTAATTGATATTTGGAGATGCAACCTACTTGTATGTCACTATTTAACACAAATGCCTACATGTATTTGGAAACCTGTGTATAGATCTTTCTGATTATATGCTATTAAGCCTAATGGAACTCAATCGCGATCGACATCTGCCCAAACACTGCGTATGTCGCCCCGTCAGTCGCCAATTGAAACTACGCCGTATGACGCGACGCCAGCATCCAATGATAAGACGTTTCTTTCCCTGCGCTCCTCACGAATTGGGTGAGTTTAATTCTAGGGAGAAATATGCGTTTTATCTCTTCATTTATTTACTAGTGCGTGGTTTTTGGCTAACCCAATGTCCGAGGTGGGTAATGAATTGAATAACGCGAACTGTCGCCGATTGTGAAGTAGTTGCTGTTCCTACTAGGTGGGCTACCTACATCGTAGACAGCTCTAGCGTAACCTGCGTCACGGATATCACTACTGTTCTTTTCTGTTGTTACGTCATATTGTGTAATATTTAGTATTTTACGTTCCTTCGTTGCATTTTGAGTTCTTTTGTTGCATTTGCGTTCCTTTGCGTCACGTCCGTTTTGTCGCCCACCTAGTATGAGGGGTGACATTTGGCTTTTGTCTAGGTCCAGTCGTAACTAGTGACCGAGAGCTTGTTGCAGGTGGCTGTCAGCAATCCACATTAATTGACAAAACCAAGAGACACGACAGTTTATGATATTGTTTACAACTTCAAATAATTTGCAGGCAGCATTAATGTATAACATAATAAATATTGAGCTAAGTTCTCATTGTGTACATAACATTGTTTCAGCTGAAAATGTGGATATCATTCATGATTCCTAAAATTGAAGATGGCAACAACTTCGGTGTTTCAATACAGGAAGATACTCTTGCCGAGATACAGTCCGTGGAGTCGGAGGCCGCCGCCTTCTTTGACCAAATCTCACGATATTTCATTTCGCGGGCGAAGATCGTGTCTAAGGTCGCTAAATACCCACACATTGATGACTACAGGAGAGCTGTCCGAGTGAGTATTTACTTGCATTTCCTGTTGCCTGTATATAATACAGTCAAATGCACTTCTGTAGCAGTAACTATTTAATAAGATCATATTAATGTTTGAAATCATCATGCTACCTGGTACCTAAATGAACAGACCAGCTGCAGTCATGTTTTATTTTAAATGTTAAGCAATTCATAACCAGAATAAATTACAAACAGGAAAACCCAGAACTTACCTATTTAAAATATTTTTCCTTGATTGCATAAGAAACTTTCTATCTTTGCAATAAATTAACAAGTTAAATAATTTAAAATTGTGATTCATATGTGTATAATAGTTTCTAATCTTAATTGTAAAACTCTGATAAAAACAAACATACTATATGTTTGCTTTTATCAATTTTTTGTTAAGTGTATTTGGCACAGTACGTAATGGAACTAAATACCTAATTAATAACTATTAGCGTAGTTGTGCCTCAGCCAAAAATAATAAATGAAACAATAATACATTTTGTCAACATTGTTTCTTTCACCTCTATACAGTTTTGATCACTGTTTACTTACCGTTTATTATAGTAAGCATGTAAAATTTAATTATTGACATTACTAATAGTAGTAAGAGAGATGAAAACAAGCACATACATGTCCAAACAAGACCTCACACAAAGCAATCTATGAAAGATGTTTATAATATATTACTATTTCATAATATTACGATAGTAGCATATGTTAGCGATACGCCTATGATAAACGTTCATATGTGTAAAGGTCAATAGCACCTGTTAGGGTTGTGGATGTGACAAGTCATATAATGTGACCCTGGCATAAGACAGGAGTAGGAACTTTTTACTCAGTAAGAGTGATTCGACTCTCTCAGACTCTTACGGAGTAAAAAAAAAATTCCCTTTTCTACTCAGACTGACTGCTGTGAGTTTTTAGAAGATTTTGTGTGCCTTATTCAGTATAATAATTTATTTCTTTGTTTATTATTAGGAGCTGGACGAGAAGGAGTACCTGTCCCTATGGCTAGTGATGTGCGAAATCCGTAACCGTTACTGTTCACTTCACGACATTGTCATCAAGAACTTGGAGAAGATTAAAAAGCCACGTTCCTCGAATGCAGAGTCTCTGTACTAGGCACTATTTAAATCTCAAGTAGTATCTCTTTAGTCACATGCGATTGTAAGAATACATTGTGGATCTAAGAGTAATACTGTAACTGGCTTTCATACCTCTTGATTTTTACTCACTAGGCGCATTTTGTGTAAATATTTGTTTGCATACTACATGCACATGTCAACACATGCTTCTATAAATTATTGTTACATACCTACATTAACATAACATTCTCAAGTAGTTCTTTATAGATGTATGCGAAATGTTACAAGTGATTATATCTCCTGTATTATTATATTTTAGGTGCTAATTTGTCTAGTGAGTAAAGATTAATTAATTGTGTTGTAGTCTTATAGCAAGGTTGAGAGGCAGAAGACTCGTATTATATGTGAGACTGAGTGCTGTGTCGTAATCCATTTCTTATTTGTGAATTAATATTGTAGTTATTATTGCTTGATAATGACATTTTATGATAATTTAAATTTTGACTAATGTTAAAGGGTGTGTTTCACGATCCCTGTTTGTGTTGCTGTTAATGTTATTTTAGTGAAATTAACATCAATTCCATTAGGCGTGGTGAAACAGGCCCTAATTATATTTTAATGACTTCAGAGTATACACTGACAACTTGCTATGACACTGCAATATAATTATCTCGTCAGTTGTTCCAAAACTATTCATAAATAGGATTTAGTTAAGCTAAAATATTGTTACTTAATATGATGACATTCAATAAACCCAATGATTTACAATACAATAATGTAATGGAGTTTAAAAATTTCTGTTTTAAAATAATACAATTATGACATAAGTATTCCTGATTGAAATTTATCCAAAAGTGATGTTATTGGCTTATAGTCAGTTTTTTTAATTTAAATAATTATACCCATGTCGAAAATAATAATAATGAATACATTTCTATGAATGTGTAAACTTGTAGTTTTATTTTAAACATATCTTCAAAGAAATAACAAAACGACATCGGATCTGCGTCATTTTTGCAAACACTGATGTCAAAATAGAAATTGAAATCATCTACTACCGCCTTGTAAGATAAGATAAATATATTTGATATTTTTTTTAAGGGGGAAAATCATCGAATGACTGCTCCCGCCTGGGTGAGGCGGGAGGGAGTGTCGGACTAAAAACCACCCCGTTCCTTCTCCTGCACGTTGAGCCGGAGCCCCGGTTACCCGTTAGGTTCACCGCGACAAATATATTTGATATAGGTATTTTATATGAGACAATCTATAAAATGAAACCGGTTTCCCGTTGTCACGCTATTACTTGAGAATGACCGAGTGGGTTGATTTTTTTTTGTTGTGTTTGTTATTGTCAGAAAAATCTCTAAAATCCTACGGGAACGGGGGAAAACGGGATTGCGCGTACGAAGTCGCGGGCAGAAGCTAGTAGAAAATACATTGTCTCGAGTGGATCCACGTTAAGACACACGATGGGTTAATACAGGGTTTCTCAAACTATGGATCGCGATCCATTGGTGGGTCGCAAGTGAATTTTTAGTGGGCCTTGTCGTGTGCGTTACCCAGGCAAAATGTTTTGCTTTAGAGAGATGAGACTTAAACAAATAATTAGTGTATCATGAGGAGCAATTTGTTTACTAATAGCAAAATTTGTTTGAATTGTAGTTTTTAAGTTACTTGAGAAAAACAAATTTTGCTGGAGTAACGTTTGAAACGTTACCCAGGCAAAATAGTCTTTCAAAAATTAGTTTCAGCACGGAACCAAATACATGAATAGATAGCTTTTGTTGCGTAGTAAATGTTTATAAATAGCAAAATTTGTGTGTGGTATAGTTCTTTAGTTATTTAAGATTTTGCTGCGGTAACGTTTTGGGATTTCCCAGATCTCGAAAACGGCTCAACGCAGAAGTTTGAAAAAAATACCAATAAAAGACCTCAATTTGTTTAAATTTGTTTAATCATTAGTTTTTGATTTGGTTGACGTAAACCAATGTAATTAAATGGTTTCAAAAATCAGAAGAAACGGGTTTACAAGTAAACCAATACACTTATAACCAAATAAACAGCTGTAAAAAATACCCGTGGTTCGACGCTTGTTTACAGCAGACATTTTAGATTTCATACTTTACACGTTAAGAAGATAAAAACAAATTTGATTTATTTTAGACTGGTCGTACTTTAGCGATCAAATACGCAGTTCCCATAACATTAAGAAACATGGCATACTTTAAACAAATTAAAATGATTCCTGAAAATTCCTTCCTGTTAATTGCAGCTTTGAATTACGGCTCTAATGAAAGTTATCTCAAAAACAAGATTATGTCAGCAATTCTCTAATGAGCCGACCAAATTGAAAAGGTCACATAAAAGCGACCGCACCATACATAAGCGCAACCATCTGAAATGAACAGGATAATATAGATGTTTTGTTAGTACAGTTGAATACAAAAGTTTTCTGGTCAGGTTAGTTAAAATAATAAAATGGTTAAGATTCATTATTTTTATTTAAAAAATCAGTCTCATACAAATTATATGTATTGCTTTGCCTTAGCATCAACATTTTTAGAGAAAAATCACAGATAAGTTATAACCTACTTACTTAATTTTAATATTTGGATACATTAATAGTTTGTACAATTTTCCTTAGGAGGTACTAATAACGTAGGTTTGAGTTTTCTTTATTCTGATTCACACCAAAAAGCGTACATTAATATACGCTGAATGACTATTTTATACTGAAACACAACTGTACTGTAAAATAAAAACATTTAATACTCACATCGTTCAAAGACGTCGTCGTACACACACACATAAACCACAAGCACTTCTCTCCAAAACACTTGGTTCACGACTGATTGTTTCATTGGTTCGGTCGGAGCTAGCGTACCCACAGATCAGGGATGTTATGGATATGAAATTTCGGTTACGGATTGGATACGGATATAGGAATGATTATTATACCGGATACGGTTACGGATACGGATAATAAATTATTTCGGATTATCCGTTAGTTTCGGTTACGGATATTATATTTTTAAGGAATTTTAAAGGTAATTTATCAATTTCTTTTTGTTTGGTATTAGTTTCATCCCAGGCACCTTTATTTTTTAACGAATCTTTGAGTGTCAACTGTTTTTTACACTCTTGTAAAGGTGTCAGCTGCTTGGCTGTAGGTTATTTTGTTGGTTACCTTTTTCCAGTAGCAAAACTTCTTCGTACTTATCACTATGTTGTGATTTAAGGTGAAGTTTTAGCGATGTAGTCCCAACTCCTGTTTACATTTTGCGGAATCGGTCATTTCATCAAAAAACGACCAAAGTGCACTCGACGCATTTTGTACAAAAAAAATTGATTCCGTAACACAACCAACACATTTGTCAAAGAAGAAAAAAAACAAACAAGCGCACATTGTTTGCCAGCTTGTGTGTCGGCACTGGCAGCGGCCGGCCGATCAAAACAACTTGTCATAACGTGTCTCAATTAGGCTCCGCCCCTATCCGATACTATCCGAAACTTTAATTTCGGATTCGGTTACGGTTACGGATGATTTTTTATATCGGATATCCGAAAGTTTCGGTTACGGTTACGGAGCTCCCTAACACCCCTGCCACAGATAGAGCGTACTCAACTACTCACAGCTAAAGAGTAAGTAAGACAAGGCATATAGCTGTTGCGTTGCATTGCACACAGCGATGCGCGCTGCTCTGACTAGCATCAAGAACGTTAAAACGTTTTTAGCGTGGCTTTGCGTTGTGGTATCAAAATAAAACATTTGGTTTAACAGAAACAACAAATTAAGTACTAAAAATATAGCTACATGTATATATGTTTGTATTGTTTTAAATCACACTATAAATTATACACTATGATATTACACTTTTATTAACTAGTAAAAATTGTGTAATATGGTACTGCACTTAAAAAATATTAAAAAATCGGCTTCACGAATAACGTTTTTCTGCTTAACTGTACAAAACATCGGTTACCAAGCTGCTAATTTGCGAAGATTACCCGTACGTACGGTGCAGTCGCTTTTACGTGACCTTTTCAATTTGGTCGGCTTATTAGAGAATTGCTGACATATTCTTGTTTTTGAGATAACTTTCATTAGAGCCGTAATTCAAGGCTGAAATTAACAGGAAAGAATTTTCATGAATCATTTTAATTTGTTTAAAGTATGCCATGTTTCTTAATGTTATGGGAACTGCGTATTCGATCGCTAAAGTACGACCAGTCTAAAATAAATCAAATTTGTTTTTATCTTCTTAACGTGTAAAGTATGAAATCTAAAATGTCTGCTGTAAACAAGCGTCGAACCACGGGTATTTTTTACAGCTGTTTATTTGGTTATAAGTGTATTGGTTTACATGTAAACCCGCTTCTTCTGATTTTTGAAACCATTTAATTACATTGGTTTACGTCAACCAAATCAAAAACTAATGATTAAACAAATTTAAACAAATTAAGGTCTTTTATTGGTATTTTTTTCAAACTTCTGCGTTGAGCCGTTTTCGAGATCTGGGAAATCCCAAAACGTTACCGCAGCAAAATCTTAAATAACTAAAGAACTATACCACACACAAATTTTGCTATTTATAAACATTTACTACTCAACAAAAGCTATCTATTCATGTATTTGGTTCCGTGCTGAAACTAATTTTTGAAAGACGATTTTGCCTGGGTAACGTTTCAAACGTTACTCCAGCAAAATTTGTTTTTCTCAAGTAACTTAAAAACTACAATTCAAACAAATTTTGCTATTAGTAAACAAATTGCTCCTCATGATACACTAATTATTTGTTTAAGTCTCATCTCTCTAAAGCAAAACATTTTGCCTGGGTAACGCACACGGCCTTGTCTGTTCATTGACGCACTAACCAACTATTCTGTATTTTGTTTTTCATATTGGTAACGGCTTAATATTCTAAAGGTGGGTCCTAAGTTTGGGAACTTGATTTAGACAGTTCGCATTCCAGACAGCTTTGGGAACCACTAGGTTAATAGATAAATATAAAGATAATATGTTACTATAGATATGATGATGAGACCAGTATTACAGATAGATATGTACAAAATAAGATCATCGAGGATTAACACAGAACGTAATTCCATACTTATCTAATACTCTGCGGTGGCGCTCTGTAGTTTTTACAGCCATAGAACAATTTGGCGTGGTAAGTATACTTCAGATGGTTTCATTAAGTTTTAATATTATCAATCATTTTTAAGGTGCTCTCACAGCAGTAGCACGGGCCTGCGGACGGCTAGCATGGGTGGCTCGCCGTCCGACCAGGACCCGAGCGTACGTCGCGTCGCGTTCGTCGCGCCTCTGAGCCATCAGACCACCACGGATGGTGCTCAATAGGGCTGATGCCGATAGAAGCGGAGAACGTAAGGGGTTACAACGGCTCCGGCTCGAAGTGCAGGAGTAGGAACGGGGTGGTTTTTAGTTCAGTAAGAGTCAGACACTCCCTCCTGCCCCAACCGATGATTTTCCCTCAAAAAAATTCCACATTGTGTAACACGATAATATTAATTAGAGTATGTTACACATGTTACAGTGTGTAACATGTCAAGTTACTAATACAACTTTTGTTATAATTTGTTTAAAACCAAATGTTGTCAGTCTAACGTTATTTAACTGCTGTGTGGGAGCACCTTACCACATACATAAGAGTGTTACATAAGTATTAAAAAATAATTTACTTTGCTTGTAGAAAAGTTATTAAATCATTTCGCTACTGGCCAGTAACAAAAGTCAAACGAGTTTCGTTTTCAGAACCATCCATACATGGGTATTTTGACGTAACGTTCTTTTAGGGGTAAGACATTTTGACAGTCTACTTCTACAACAATATATTTTTTAGATTTATTTTGCATTGTCAATATTTTGCTCTAGTGTTATAGATTTGTTTAATTATGGTAATAAATTGTTAAAGGTTTTTGAGGCAATGGCGAGCGACATCGACAAAGGGAACTTTGGCGACAGCGCCCGTAATACAACCGTGTACGATTTGAAATCGAGAAATTCCAATCATGTTTTCGATGGTGCTGGTGAAAATATTCAATATTACAGTGATTCAGAATCCGTTGCTTCGAGAAAAAGTAAAACACGTTACATAAATCCGGCCATTTATATTGAACCAGTGGAGTCGACGCATTCTGTGACATCTCTGCATACAGACTCGTGCATCTCTGACGTCACGCCGCATCCACATAGTAGTTATAGGAGTAACTCAACCCCACTACTGAGTGGTCGTGGCTCGAGTGTCTCGTCAGGCAGTGTGAAGAGAAAGTCGTGTCGATTGACAGGTCTAGGGAATGTGAAAGGTTTAGATGTAGATGAAGAAACGCCACGATTTGATCGCACTTACCGGGAGGACAGACCTGACACGTTTCGGTTATCAGTGGCATCCATATCCACTACTACTACAGCTAAGGAAGAACGAGAGCGTAATGAAAAGAAGAAACAGGAAGCATTCAAGCAATGGCTGGCAAGGAAAGACCAAGAGGTGGGTTAGATTATTTTGTTCGTATCTAGATTATTATGTTTAGATAATATTGATTACGATATCAATGTTCACCATTCTCGGAAGAACCGATGTCCGTTGGGCAGATGTGTTCTTAAGTGGAGACCGCAGCTAAGCTAACGTAGTGTATAGCGCCCTTTATCTGGGTAGAGTGACAATATCCTTAAAGTGCGTAACAGTGGTTGGGTTATTGGTTATGCGAAGGGCTGAACACCGAGCTCAGTGGCGAGCGAGTTATTGGTGATGCCTAGGTCCAACAATGGAAGAACACTGATCATAATGATGGTTAACATCCAAACCAACCACTACATTGGCAGGTAGGTAGGTAATAGTAGATAGGTAAGTTAGGTTACGGTACCTAAAGTACATTAATGTTGAACATTCTTAGAAACGTGACAAAGCTCGTGTTGAAAAGATGAAGCGGCAGGTTGGACCCACGCCGTCTCAGGAGCAACGGGAGGAATCATACCGGCGGTGGTTGGAGCGAAAACGGACCCAAACGGAGCGTCAACGAGCCGAGGACATAATGCGACAGTACCGACACAACGAACAATTAGAAAGAGAACGAAACAAGCGCGAGAGAGACAAGGAGGAGAAACTAGCAGAGTGGATTCGTAGGAAGGAAGAAGAAGTAAAAGGTGATTTTTACATAATAGTAATTTGTTGAAACTTGGATTTTTAGTATTCTTTACCCCGGTCCTTGAAGCAACCTTCGTCTTTTTTTCCGGAATTTGAGACATTTTATATTTATCTAGCTTCTGCCGCGACTTCGTACGCGCAATCCCGTTTTCTGCCGTTCCTGTAGGATTTTCAGGACTTTTTCTGTGATAAGAACCTTCCAAGAGATGGTAAAAGGCTTCTAATAATAAACAAAAAAAAAACAGCCAAATCGGTCTAGCCGTTCTCAAGATATGGCGTGACATATGGTTTAGTTTAGTTTTAGTTTAGTAAGTTTATATATATGAATTATAACAAAACAAGTTTTACATCTTCATATTAATAATTGCAGCAATGAAGACACGGGAAGAGCGTAGAGCAGCACGCGCTGCTATCGAGGACGAGCGTAGGCGAGCCAATAGCGAGCGAGCGTACAGGGACTGGTTGCGTACCAGCAAGAACAAGCCGCTCCCTGTGCCACTCAACCAAGGAGAACTGAGTTAGTACCTACCATTTTATGACGCTCCACGTGTTTTATTTATAAACCTATTTGTATAATAAATGTGGCAAATATGAATGGCCCGAAAAGGACAAGATTGAGTGAAATAGAAAATATTAGCCTATTGTCTTTAGATTAGGTACTTAATTGAGTATTTTCGAGGATAAAGGGGTGGTTTCCTTAGCGTAATAATTTATTTTTTAATTTTAAAAGTGTTTAAGTAAGTACTTTGTGAAACAAAAATTCCTCGTCATAATAATTATTATATATCGTGCAACGGCATAATTACAACTACATAGAAACATTGCGGCCTATTTTATCGACCTCTGAGTTATAAATATTATCTAGGCTACGTAGATCGCGGTGGTTAATATACGTCGACCTAAAATCGAACGACATGCATTTTTCCGTTTATTGACCGGTGTGTTGTCATTCATTATTCACTGTTTACGATGGTCGAGCATTGACGCGTCGATCGTTATGATAAAGAATGTAGCTGTTTCCACTAGACTGTCTCGTTGGCCGAGTGGTCGCAAGTGCGACTGCCGGGCAAGGGGTCTCGGGTTCGATTCCCGGGTCGGGCAAAGTATTACTGGGTTTAAAAAAAAATCTCAGTAGTAGCACGGAGTCTGCAAATATGCCCGGTATATGGCAATAGGATCACCCCCTATTACATGGGACTCAACCTAAATAGTGAAAAGTGGGAACACCCACTTTGTGCACACAGAAGTAACAACTTCTGTGTGCATCTCTGCCTGCCCCTTCAGGGATAAAAAGGCGTGATGTTATGTTATGTTACACTATTAATTTTGTACCTACTTGGAAAATGAATGTTTGTGTTGTTAGTACGTACGGATTGTTTTAATTATTCTATTCGTATGACGGTTGGTGTGGTGGATGGGCAATGGGCAACCGGCCGCCGCGCAACGTGCACCCGTTTCGATTTCCGCACGGAGCAACTCTTTGTTTGATGAATAAATTGTTGTCTCGGGTCTGGGTGTCATGTGTCAAGAGAAAATACTGGTATGAGGCAACGTTTTAAAAAAAAAACTAAAATTCGTAGTGTTTTCTATATCACGGGACTTAAAATCTAGATGAGTTTTTCTGGATTACCAGAAAAAAAATATTCATACTTTTTCTGCTACTTCTAGTTAATCGACTTCTCCAGTATGTTATTGCCATATATGTTTCCTATTGACTATGTAAACCCAATATGTGTCCTATTGCTTGGTCTAATGACTTAACAATTTAATATTTAAGTATAATTGGCCTACCAAATATACTTGCCAACTAGTCAAATTAAATACTTTTTTCGAACTGTCAAAAATGACAGTTTTCTATGAATTTTGTACTTGATTGTGGATATGACGTCACGTTTTTTAGCGTCAAACAGCATAGACTTATTTCTTAATATTTCGCTGGAAGAATACTAAAATTAAGTTGGTCATAAAATCAATTAATGAAAGTATGATTATTATTAAATATTTTTTTGTATTGAACAGTCAAAATAATTTATTTTTGATTAAAGAAAATACCCAATTCTTTTCTGGCGATGATAGGTTTAGCCACATGAATGATTGTTATGTAATTTCTCGGAACGAAGAAAAACACAAGCTTAAGTGTGGGAGAGCCATGCTTCGGCACGAATGGGCCGGCTCGACCGGAGTGATACCACGGTCTCACAGAAAACCGACGTGAAGCAACGCTTGCGTTGTGTTTCGTCGTGTGAAAGAGGTTGCCGGAGGTCCAATTACCCTCCACTTCCCCAATCTCCCAATGATTCTCAAACTCCTAATCCCCAAAAAGCCGGTAATGCACTTGAACGCCTCTGGTGTTCCAGGTGTCCATGGGCGACGCCGATTGCTTACCATCAGGTGATCCGTCTTTTCGTTTACCGGCTTATGTCATAAAAAAAGGATAACAACATACTTACTCAGCAACATCTCGGATCTCCTTCTATTTTTTAATATTTTATTGTATTGAACAGTCGAAATAATGTGTTTTTGGTTAAGCAACGCACCCAATTGATCGGCGTTCGTTCGAAGAATAAAGCATAAACGACATCTAAATGCCTGCCAATTTATGAATGCTTGAAACGTTTTACCCATCTATAACTTGACAATTCTTTCCAGGTATGCGTGGTACCGTATCACAAATGTATATAAATCCCATACCTTGGCAGTATCCCACATGAACATCTAAGGAGATATCGTTATAATTAATTGTAGGTATTTTAAAATTAACTGATTATGAACGTTAATTTTTTGTGCGCGCGTCAAAATCACAATTTTGTGTAATATATTAAACTATGTTGTAATGTTTGTTCTTATTATTTAGTAATCGATGTACTTCATTTTATAGAATAAATTTTCAATTTTTAGATTAACATTTTGTTGTAGTCGCATTATATATTTTATCATCAAGGTGATTATGCTAATAATACTAGACAAGCTGAATGCTCGTTAATAAAACGAATTGTTTATTTCCACATTTAGTTTTATTTTAGTAATAATTTTCAAGGTATACGTTAGGGTCCCATCAAGTATAATATACATACCATAGAAAATTCACAAATATCTACTATTCGGCACGCGATCATTTTCCTATTCCTAATATTAACTACGACGATGATTACAACTAAAGGGTTGCGATTGCAAAATGTGCGTAATAAGAAGCGAGTAATTATTCTAATTCTATACTGATCTATCGTAAGCCCTTTACAAAGTTTTTCGTACAAGCCACAGCCATCTTTGACGCCTATTTCTAATGATTTTAATGTTTAACTAATGCCATTGTTGTGGTTTATCAATAAACTTCCTCTTCTTCCTTGAGCCGCAGTATTTCTGATTTGTTCATGAAGTAGTACGTGGGTTGTCGACCCTTAAGGTCCTTCAGTACGCGCTTGGCTCCAGCTCTGATCAGCACCCTGCTCAGTGATTCTATCTTCTCTACGCCCATAGCATAGTGTAGCGGTGTGCGCTCCAACTGTATTGTAAGAGAAAGAAGTCAAATAAAAATTAATGGCCTTTTATTGTAATTCGCTTGGGTAAACTAACATCGATAAAGTATAAAATATGAAATATCTAAAACCTCAATAACAGAAATCCCCCAGTAAAAGCATTTAACTAATATAGAACATGTTTTAATTAGATAAAAAATAACGACTAACTCGCGTGTCCACAAAAAAGTTTTTTGAATTGATAGTTCGAAATATATTCATGACACAGAGAAAAACCTAAGTCAAAAAAATAATAAAAAAATAAACTCACATTATCTCCAATGCGCAGTAACTCAGGGTAGTTCTGCGCTAGATAGGAGACGACGTCTTCATGCTGAGCTAGCACAGCGACATGAAGCGCTGTGCGACCGAATGTGTTCTGACACCGAGCCAGGGTCCTTCCACCTTCACCAGACAGAGCCGCCTGTACAGCTGCCAAGTCTCCACGACGAACTGCACCGTGAAGGGATTCACGGGATTCCTGATGAGACGAAGTTAAATGGAATATGACGAAATATCTATCAGAGGATAAATAAATTGTAGTTCCTACGGCGTAGTGAAATGGAATAACTGCGGCGTAAAGTCTATTGCACTACGACGTAGTAATCTTAGTAGTTTTGTGCGATGCCGTAGTATCGTAGTAATTTTGTGCTGCGGCGTAGCGACATAGCAATTTTGCTACGACGTAGTATCGTAGCAATTGTGATCTACAGCGTAGTATCGTAGTAATTTTGCGCTACAGCGTAGTATCGTAGTCATTTTTGCTACGGCGTAGTTGACGACGCAGTGACGATGTAGCAGTATTGTAATTGCACCACCATATAGTAGCTAGTAATCAGACATTACTACATATCAGTGACAATCGCGCAGCAAAGGGCATTGATTAAAATTGGTGCCTTTCTTTTTTCTGGCGGCAGTCGATGATTTATGGAAAATATTATCCAGAATGACATTACAAACGAAATTGTCTATGGGCTTATATATGGAAATCTCAGTCTGGACTGAGTTATGAGCGTTGAAAGGAGCTGGAGTCAAACATTTTACTTCGGTTTTTTATTCAAATTATTCATAGTTTTGTCACAATTTCTAACTTCAAATTGCGCGCCACTGTACTCCGGGCACAGGAAAACCATATCACACCACAATATATTCATATTGCCAGGCACTAATTTTTATTACCTATTTTCTCTCAGTCGATAACTTGTGGGATGCTTCTAGGAGTTGTGTCATGAAGCTTCATGAGCGTCAGCTGTGGTACCAGTGGTGGGTTGAGTAGTGGTAGCCGTCCAAACATCTAATAAAGTATATTTTTTTTTGCCATTGACTCCTGGTGGGACACTCATCTACTTAATAGTTAGCATAATCTTTTGAAGAAAGAAAACCGTCGACTTTTAAAGTGATCAGCGCTATTCAATCCGCTACCGACGCCGCAGCTGACAAACATAGCATTTCATGATAGGGCTCAGTAAAGTATTTTGCGGGTTTTTGACTGAGAGGAAATTGATCATGAAAATCTGTCATAGGCCATAAACCGTATACATATAAATTGAACACGCTAGCCAATCAAGCGAAATGTTTCTTTTTCTTCAGCAGTGGTCAGTTAATGGTTCACTCTGTTCTGATTCAGTGGCCTTATAACAAAAAAAAAAAAAAAAAAAAATAAGTAAAAATGTCCACAATAAGCTTTATTATATTACTTGAAATCGTTTATAAACATTTATTACAAAATATTTCTGACAAGTAAATGAAGAAATATGCGTTGTGTACGGTCACCATCAACAAAATCACAGGGATAATATAGCACTATTTTCACATCTTTGAACTGATTTAACTCGATTTGGACTGTGTTTTTGATATAAGACCCCATATATTTTTTTGTTTGTAATGTTATTCTGCATCAGTTTTTCCACATCCGATCAACTGCCGCGAAAAAATGAAAAGGCACCACGCTCCATACAAATTTGGTCATTGTCATTTGTCATCGATAGTAGATATGATTTCATTGTTATAATTTTTTTTTATTTTTATGTAATATTTATTTTATAACGGTGGAAATTAACTGTTATTTTTTTCTTTCTTTCATATAGCATTTTTATTTCAACTTAGCAATCGCGTATGAATTACCTCGAAAGCTGGAATGGAAGCGAGTAAGTTGCTCATATTTGTGTCTCCGCGCTGTGCTATAACTTCAGTTATGGGCAATCCTTCTTCGTCAACCACATCCAATATGTGATCGTAGCCTTCCATTAATAGCTCCATTATCTTTTCCGTATTGCCTGTTAACAAAATCATTGTAAACCTCATAGACAAAAGGATATTTAGAAAACTTGTATAAATTATTTAATTTATCGAGAAGGTCTTTACCTCTAGCAGCCATGTGTAACAGCCATTTGTCAATCTCTACGGTGTTCTCAGGAACGTTGGCCTGTATGGAGACGTCTCGAGCAGTCCTGTACAGTTCGTCCCTGTATCCCAAACTGATGTCTGACTCCTGCAAGAGCTGGAACAGCGCGTTCCGTGTGTGTGTGCGAGCTGCTGCGAAGTGCAGCATTGACTGTCCATGTTCATCCTTACAGAAGAATTGTTGTTAAGCAAGTTAAGTTTTTTAGCAAGAACATACGCAACTGGGTCAGTGAAGAAAACAAAGAGTTCAATTAAAAACTAGGACAGTTTAACCGAGTCGATATGGGACGGCTATAATTCACCACCCACGGACTTCGACTTAATGATACAAGTCACAAAGGGCCATAATTGCCTGAAGCAATCAAAGTGGTTACGACTGGAAATACAATTATCTAAGTGGAAAAGGTTATGTAAACTCACTCTAGTGGCACTACTGAAGGCGGATTCGGGAGCATCAGGACTGGTGACGGGCTGTGGGTCGACGGTGACGATGTCAATGGGCCGCTGTTTGGTCGCTGTGCGGTTGCGGACGGCGGTCACCGCGTTTGATGGTACTGGTACGGCTGCGGCCGGCGCCGGTTGCTCGTTCTCTACTTCTGCTGCTTCTCGTGTCACTATCATTTCGGATACCTGAGCCAGTGTTATTACACTTTTAAATAATTTGCTCTTTCGTTGGTTATCAGTATTAAAGGTCTCCAACTAAATCACACTAAGACAGCGTTAACAGCGTTAAGTAAATTATGTATGGTGAACTTCCGGGTACGAGTGATGATGTTGTTATGTAGTTATAGATGTTTTTATTTTAGAGAAACAACTTTTATCAAGAAAAAAAAACAAAATAAAAAGTACGTAGTATGTGCAATAATATTTATGGGAATTATAAGAACATAGAATTGGACAAAACAATAATAAAGTGATAGATATTTGCTCACCTGCGTACCTAAATTAGATTTCTCCTGTTCGGGAAAATTATGAAGAAAACTGGCCAGGAACGCGACCGGATCTTTAGGCTTTATATTAGCCACCTCGGTCAGACCTTTGATCAAAGGATCGCCGAGAGCTGTGAACACATCGTTCAAATCAACCTCCTTCTTGTTCTTCCATTCCATTTTGTCATTGACCAACAACGAATTTATTAAAAACTATTTTAAATTTTAAATAGGAGCTTACACTTAGCGAGGTATCTGCCCTCTTCGGTCCGAAAGATGGGAATGTCCATGTGGCCATTGTCGGGGTGGCTTGTGCCTGAAACCGATCAATTATTCAGTGTCGGCCTTCAATAGGTTTGCGTGGGAGGGGGAGGGTGCGAGAATACATCAAACACGTGGGTTTTTACGCGAACGTGAACATCTGGTGGGGGCAGTGGGTGGGAGACGATTATGGTTGGTGGTGGTAGTGGGAACTGGACAGAAGCTACTATTAGCATTCGCTAGTCATAATTGATATGGCCTATTGTTATCGATCGATCGTTTAACGTACACAATATAAACCGCTTTATGCTACGAAACTTATGGACAGATTGAGTTATTAATCTATGTTGATAATTAAGGCAAATAGATACAAAAGTTCAATTTCAGTCAGTCAAGTCATTGATATACATACAAAGAAATATATTTCTACACGCTTAATTTCTAGAAAGCACAAACTAAAGACAGGACAGTACATTTTCAACGTCACACCTGTATCTAATGTTGGAAAGACAGAAATGGTTGATGGTGAGCGTGCAGTAGACCAAAGCGTATTAAGTTACTATTTGATGTGCAAGTGTGAACGTTTGCAGTGACTCCACTGGTGTAAGACTCACACGAACACGCCACCTCACAAGGATATCAAATAATTTATTAAGTACTGACCTAAAACTTTATAGATGCAAATAGTTATCTAGATGTTGCTCAGCTGCAACCATACATAGGCACGTTATCAGTACCTACAATCTTTCCAACATTCGATAAATTAATTGTGATATGTGAATATTATGTGATTGTGAAAAATAAATAAGTAGGTTATTTGTACATTATGTGACATTTAATATTTTTCCCTCTTCTCTGGGCTATCATGACTAGTTATACTATTTCTTTTTTTACGGAAAATATTTGACAACATCGTTGCAATGTGTGCTGAATTTTGCATTGATAAATCTTTTTCCAGATGTAGTAAATTTGATGTAGCCGTCGCAAAATCATTGAAGCAACTCGTCTCAGTAATTCCTAAACACTGATAGTTGCTGATCCTAGCAATATCAGGACTTAGTGTCTCTCGGTACTGCAAACCTCTCATGGCACAAAGATGTTTCATATTATCTGGATCTTTTGATAGTCCCGGAAAATTGACAATCAGGCTAAAGCGAATGCCTGCTCCCAGGAATGTTGGTCTCGCAGAAAGATATCCCAACTTTGTGTCCCATGTGAAATCAAGTTTCTCGTGAAGATACGTCATAATGTAAGAAAGTTTGCTGAAGGGCAAGCCAATTTCTCCCGGTGAGTCTTGCGTTGAAGATACAAGTACACGAATATGATCATGAACGTTTATCCATACAGCTACGGTTTTGTCATCAGTGACGAATACGCCGCGACCGTAAGGCCAGTGCTTTCCATGTAATCTTGCACAGTCATCAATTTCATCTCTATCACATAGAGCTATCAGAAGACCACAAGATGCTAATGTGGCACATATTTCTGATGGCTTTTCTAAAACCTCGTTTAACGTGTAGTATGTGCCACCTTTTTGGTCAGATTCAGGGTTAGAAAATTCGCTAAACTTCGAAAATTCGTCTTTCATCAAAAGTGTGGTTACGATTCGTTCTATTGTTTCCAGTTTACCCACTTTCAAGTTCAATGGGAGTTCAAATCCTTCCAAATTGCGTGAACATTCTATTACTCCAGATAGAACAAATTCGTCGTTTGGGTCAATATTTATTTCTACCAGAGGTTCAGCAGATAGTTTGGCTGATGAGGTACCCATAAAGTTTGATGTGGGGTGTTTTGGCAATTCAGAATTAACATTAATATTATGAAGATCTTTTACAAGTGGTATCAAAAACTCATTGAATACGTCATAAACATAATAATCAGGGGCCGTGACTCCTCCTGGAAAATCTTCTTCCACAGTTTGGATAATATTTCTGCTATCCGGGAGCTTTTTGACAGCAGGCCAGATGACATCAAAGAGATCATGGTCTAATTTTGTAATTCTATATTTTATAACATCGAAAATTGGCTTTTTTAGGAACCGTGCAAGTACGAGTGGTGGTGTAGCTCTGTTGGACGATGCTGATAACGGTGTGCGAGCTGGTCTTGCAGATGCTAACAGGTGATAGCATCGGTCCAAGGTATCCAAAGCCTCAGGTGTATCGAGAGCTCGCCGAGATGAGACTTGATCCTCGGGCACTAGACATACTCAAGTTAGAACAAGCAACATTTTATTATTACAACAATTAATGCTTAGTGAAATTCTTCATTTGTAGTGCGTTTTTCATTTGCAGAAGCGACCTTCATCCTAGATATTTACATACCTTTATCGGAGAACATGTTTTGCGCTGCGTCTTCACTTAAGCCATAATCTGATAACATTTGATGAAAAGGTAACAGAGTTGGATTTTTTTGATATTCTTCGGCTGACTTTCCACTCTACAAAACAAATACTTTGACCATGAGTATTACGACGAAAATATATTAAAAATAATGTCATGTATGAAAATGTTATTAAATATTGTTACATCATCTAAATCTTTCGAGTTGGCACCAAGTTGTTGAAGGAGATTGTAGTAATGCCCATTATCAGGAAGGACAGCTGCATAATGTAAAGCCGTTCTTCCTTCAAAATCTACCGCAGATAGGGTTTCGGGAAATCTGCAAGAAGTATCAGTAAGATCAACCTGTCGCTGATGATTTGATATTTGCGTTATGGAATATTAAGGTTTTGAAATAGCAAACCTGCCGCCCAAATATTTGATAATGTTGGTTTTTCCAAATATTGTTGCCACGTGTAATGGGGTTGCTCCATTGGGTGATATTGGATCGCGAGCTATTGCAAATTTCCGTCTATCCAAAGCTGCTTGAAGATCTCTTATGTTACCTTCTCTTGCTGCTACATGGACTTTGTTTATTTTTTGCTAAAATTTAAAAACGTCAATGAATCTTTTACTTATTAAATGTAAACGTTACTTTGTTGGAATAAACTTTACCATATAAGTTGGTACATTATCAAGGAACGCTTGCAGTTCAGAGTTCCCAGAATGCCTTCCTATAAGCCTTGATCCTTCTCCATTTAATACTAATGTGGCTAACATTTCCATATTTGCATTGTTAATTAAATCAGTAACTTCTGGATCTATTTCATTATCCTGCGAAATTACAAAATTAATATTAGTAGCGTTAAAAAATATTCATTGTCATGTGGCGGTGTTAGAAACTACAATCGCTGACTAATAGAATTACTTGAGAAAGTACAGATATCTAAGAAGCCGGCAAATCAATTCATGACAGTGGTGTTACGAGGTGTCTGTGAGAATACACAGTGCTACAATGATGCTTCTAGTCTAATAAACACCACAATCAACTAATCAATTTACTTATTACCTTCTTTAGTCGGTCGATTGTCTTACTTGATGGTACAACTTAATAATATACTTACAACTACGAGAACTTCTCCGTGCACTGATCCATCTCTTTGCGTCATACTTGCATCCTGTGAGTCCATCTCGGCTTCACCATTCACTACACCTTCTATAAGACTTTCCTGTGTGCTTCGGCCGTCGGTCACGTTTCCTTAATTAGCAAAATAATCAAAAATATTGAACTTGTCAGGGACCCCCTTATAATTGATTAAAATTACGAGGACTATGTTTTGATTGTTTCGTGTATAGTGCCAGAAGAGATTTCGGGTTTACCTCTCTTGGCACTTCCCAAGTGAGGCAGTTCTGCTGTACTCTTAAGATTCGAATCACTATATTCAGACTGTGTTTCTCCTTGCACTTGAACATCATCATCATCTTCTGTGTGTTCACCATTGGTATTACCTTCATTTGAAGCAGCACCGAAATCCTCTGCATCTGCATTGCTTTCATTGTCATCATGATTGGATTCATTATCTTTATTCTCTTCTTTATGTTGAGAAATATGTTTTGCAGATTCCACTCTATGATTATCTTTTTCATGTTCATTATTATACGATTCATTATTCTGAATTTCTTCTTTTGATTCATTATCACGCGGCCCTGGATGTTGCTCTTCATCTCCGTCATCCTCAGATTTTTGTTCATCACCGTCGTCATCAGTTTTGTGCTCGTGCACATGATCATTGTCATTAATGTGTTCTGTCTTATCACGTTCTACTTCCTCTTCATTATCTTTTTCTACTTTGGGTTCAGTCTCAGCTTCCTCATTTTCCTCTTTTGCTGCATCAGACTCTTTCTTTTCTTCATTTATATTTTCTTGACTATGATCATTATTTTCAACCACTTGAACACTATCTGCTGGAGTTTCATTAACATGTGCATTAGATTTCTCATCATTGGCTGGTTCGTCGACATGATCAGTTGACTCGTAAGCCGTATTTTCCGCCTCTTCGTCAGGTTTTTTGGATTCCTCATTATGTTCCTCAGCATTTTCCTCAGTATGTTCCTCAATATGTTCCTCAGCGTGTTCTTCAGCATGTTCTTCAGCATGTTCCTCAGCATGTTCCTCAGCATGTTCCTCAGCATGTTCCTCAGCGTGTTCGACTGCTTCTTCGGCATCACTAGTATGTTCTTGTTTATCTTCAGTTTCTTCTTCTGCATTTGGTTCGTTTTCTTGTTCTTGCTCTTGTTCGTGATTTTCTTCCCCTACTTCTGATTCCTAAAATGCATAAAATAAAAATTCATGCAGATGTTCATAAAAAAAGCATCGCAACTTAACAACATTCCGTGAAACCGTGACATGCAATGCTCACCTTGTTACTTTCTACATTTGCAATGTGATTCTCAATATCATCTTTCGTTTGCTTTGCATCATCTAGTTCAGGCAAATTATTAATGAGTTCATGCGTGCTACTGCCCTTCATCCCACCAATACGATTGTCTGTACTTTCAGAAATTGTGTTAGTGTTAGTATCTTTTGACGAAATATTTTCATTGGACGCTTTGTGGTTCTTCCTCCTAGATTTTTTATTTAGTTCAGCTATGACCTCAGTGTCCAATAACTTCCAGTCCCAGGAGTTTGGGTATGCACTAGATGGTGTTCTGGGGGCATCGGGCAGTGTTTTGAACATGTTTTTGTCTATCTCCTGGGGCCTATTTATGTAATAGGCTGGTGTTTTATTTTTCTAGAAATCAGAAAATGAGTATTAGATTGTAGTGAAACTGGCTCAATAGATCTGAGCATGCAAGTGTCATCGAAGTGTATGTATGTATTCATCAATACTTACGTTATCAACGACACTTTCATCTGCCCCAAGACTGACTAGTGTATTGTATGTATGCTGGTCGTCTCGCATGGCTGCAGCGTAGTGTAGTGGTGTGCGGCCATCATTGTCTACGTCGTTTATACCTTGTGGGTATCTTTCAGCAATATACTTCAGGATACCGCCGTGGCCTAAACCTGCCGCCTGTTTATCAGGTTCGTTAATTATTGTTAAATAAATGAAATATTAATTTCTATAATTTTATTTGACGAATGTTAATGTGTTTCATTATGTCGATAAGTAGTAACTTTTACAATAATCAAATATTATTAAACATGTAAAATTATTAAAAGATAAAATTGCACTAGAAGATAATTGGTACTTCCAGGAATCATAGTTATAGTTCTGACATTTGTGATCACTCATAATGATGTATGAGTCTGCACCTGTCCACTTTCTTTTATCCACAATTACTTTTTTATTGATTTACTTTCAGTCAGTATCTAATAATAATAATAATAATAATAATAATTTATTTCATCAACTATTATGTACATATCAACAAAATATTAGGAAAAAACCTGTTAAGCAAGAAAATGCTTGTGGTAGGCGATCCTACTATACCAAAGACATCAGCTAAACATAAGTTTATAAAAATAAATAAAAAGAAAGAAATTTAGAATTAAACAAATTATAAACTGAAAATTAAAGGGAATAAGTAATGTGAAATTAGAATACATTAGTTCGCACACTGAGTGTATGTAATGTATGAAGGAATGTGTGTTGTTATGTTATGTTATGAATGTTTAATCTGTGTATTAGTGTTGTGCTCGTGTATCTGTGAATGTATGTGTAGTGTTGTTTAGTTTCTTTTTATCTATGTGAACGTACACAGGACGGATTCAACTTCATCGTAATTCTTATTGGTCAGCCATTGAAGTAATGCTTTTTTACATTTATGTGAATTCATAGAATATATGTTAATTTCTTTATTTAATATGTTATATATATGGGATGATTGTTTGGTGTACTGTCTCGTAGCAAATGCAGTTTTCACTGGGAGTTCTGGAGCGACTTTATTTATTCTCCTTGTTTTTGTTCTTCTAGGGTAAAAAGGAAGGGATTTATGTTTTTTCAAGGCGATTTGCAGTATGTATAGCTTCCGGACAGATAGAAGATCCGACGTTAAGTAAAGGCTTTCGGTTGAGAATCTCATTGGTTTGCAGTATATGACTTTCAGAAGTGCTCTCTGTACTCTTTCCAATTCTAAAAACTTTGTTTTGGTTGCGCCACCCCAAATTGGCAAACAGTACATTATTACCGACTGGCCCAAGGTTATATAAATCTGTCTAATAAGCTCTTTCGTGGCCAGTATCTACAAGCTATCGTTAAACCAACAGCTGGCGAAGAAGACAACTTCTACAAGGTTAGACATAATTGCCTGTCATTAGTATTAACTAAGTATATGTATGACCTACATAAGTAATAACATATAGGTAAACTAACTGTGACTTGAAATCTTCCGATGAAAAGCATACCAAAATCCGATATTTATTGAGTTCATTGTGTCCATATAGAGGGTTAGATTGACGGGAAAGGAGACTTATTCTTATAATAATAGAGTTAGTTGCCAGGGTATGAGAAATAAAATTGATTTTTATTAATTAGTCCGTCACCTAGATATTGAAAAATATTAGGCACGTACTTTTTTAATTTCTCATATAAAGTTACAATTATTATTAGATAACTGGAATTAAGTTTAGGAGTGGGAGGGCGTTACGTCATATAATCCTATAAAATGGAGCGCGTTGTGACGTCACACGATATTTCGAAAGTATTTAATTTTGTGAGAAAAGAAAAAAATACCAATTAATCTACCAGACGGGTATTAAAATAAAATTTAGGAAACTACCGTAGTGTAGTTTCCTATTGTACATAATAGTATGTAAGGATGTGCATACCTTGTGCATAACTGTCATATTGTTCGCGTCCCTACTGGACAGGGCTTGAGGAGGGACAGGATCACCAGCATGCTTCATCAGACCTTCCAGATCATTCTGCACCACAGACGCGTGAATGTCCCTGATGGTGTTCTGAAACATTTTCAATTTATTGTTTTAATACATAGTTGCTCAAATAAGTTATATAGGTGGTTACCGAAACTGTGCTTTTTTTGTTTTGAGCTGAGTTTATTTTTGTGGTTCTGTATAATCTGCGCATGACTAATAAAGTCTGAGATATTACGACTTTAAACGTTGTACAATTTTAATCTTTTTTCATAATATATGTTACGTTTTACTTGAAAATAAGAACGGGGGGGATTTGAAAAGGACTTCACAGAACACCATAGAGTAGTTTAATTCCTAGAAAAAAGTTCAGTTTGGCTAGACTCAAAGTTGACTAGGACTTAAATTAAAATAGTGACTCTCACCATGATATAAGGAACGGCTTCCAGAAACTTCTTCACGACTGGTTGGTTGGAGACCTCGCTGAGCAGTCGAGAGCCGTGCCCCTCCCACACCACGCGCTGCAAGCGTGCCATGTCACAGTCATGGCACCATATCCTTATGTTATGACGCTTAATCACCAGACCTGGGAAAATATGGAGATAAAAATAAAAAAGGTTTGTATTTTTGAAGATCTTCTTTTTAAATGAAAATAAATAGTACTCTTTGCGCATATGAAGTAAAAGCTAGTTATCTTTGCTACCTCTAGTTATCCTTTAACGGTTGAAACACCGGCTCCCGGTATAAAACACATTATACCCGCAACTTTCAACAGGCAAGAGGCTATTGAGAGTCTCTTCAGATAAAGTTATTCAACTATTAACACCGTTTTATATCACACAGTAATTATTGTAAGTCGAAAGTTGTGAAGTGTAAAATAAAAAAATTATTAGCAGCATTTGTAGTGTCATTTCCCAAAGGGACTCCCGGAGCGCCATCCTATTATAATAATTTGAGACACGAGTGAGATATGCATCGAAACTTATTCCGTTCTTGTATTGTATTTATCTTGGATTGCGTTAGAATAAATGTTACCTTCTTCATAATAAATGCCCATCTACTTATTATAATAATAATACCATACGTAGATACCTAAGTCATGCTCATAACCAATTATGCATAGTGTGTATAATTTTATCATGACCGTTAATATTTTAAACCGAGTATTTAGATAATTATACATTTATTCGTATTCCTTTATGTACAAAGAGACACGTGGCAGCCATTAATAATGTCGATGACGCAGCGAACTAGGTCGATATTAATATCTAATATTATTTATTTCTCGTGAGAATTCATGCATTACTCAAATATTGAAGAATATTTTCATAAATATTTCACAATTTGAATACCTACATGTAGTTTTGTTATCAGTCGAAAAAGTCGAAACCTTAAAATCGATAACTTTACATTTTGTTTAACTCAGAATTTAATCTCATCATGATCGTTATGTATTAGCATTAGCTTGCTCAGAGCATAACTAACATAACATTTGCACTGATTACAAGCATTAGCTTAAGATCATTTCAAACGAAGCCCTAACTAGTCGTTCAATAGTCGCGGAGAACCTAACAGGCTACCGGGGCTCCGGCTCGAAGGAACGGGGTGGTTTTTAGTCAGTAAGAGTCTGACACTCTCCCGCCTCACCCAGGCGGGAGCAGTCATTCGATGATTTTCCCCCCTTAAAAAAAGTCGTTCAATGCAAATCTTCTATAAAGAAAAGTTAGTATTTGTACCCATTTCAAACAAACCATTTATGTTTTCAAGTACGTTAGTAAAGCTACTATTATACAGCCATGTAACATCAAACCTGCAATTATGTATTACATGTCATACCCTAGAAGTAGCATATAAGATAAGCCTTATAGCTTTACCGACACGCCAGTTGAAAGCAACCGTCAATATGAGCTACTTAGGTATACTTAGAATTGCAATCGATGGAAAAGTTCAAGGTGACCGCCATTCACTAGAAAAATGGTGAAAAATGCTGCTCTTTTTTTGAATAGGTTTGAATTCATTAACTTTTGTATACGGCTACTGGGTCTGGGTCGGTTTACGATGTGATGTCTAAAGCTGCTATAAAGTCGAGTCAGTGCGTCCAATATTGAATTAGGTTTTTGGATAAGATTTATCGAAGGGGTGGGCAGGGGTTAAACGTTAGTTAGTGATTATGACACACTTGTAATTCAGGCGTGTAAATGAAGTACTTTTTGCTAATTGTTTCAGAGGACAAGTCTTATAAAATGTACCTATTATGTTCCGAATATTCAGTTGCTTGTTAGGACATTCGAAGTCCTTGAAAAATGGAGGTCCTTTTATTCTTAGAATTGTTTTCCAAATGAAATACTTTCTTGTGTAAAAGTCAGGCAAGGGTACAAAATTAGATAATTACAGTAATCAAAATGTCAGACTAGCCTTTACTAATCCATTTAATTACAGTATTCCAGTTTAATTTGTACAGGGAAATAAGATTTTTATCAGATTTTCCTATTATTATAAAATGTATATTTAAAATAAATAAATAAAAAGAATACTTTACTGATTAATCTATTGAGTATGTTTCTTCAAGTTTAATTTTATTTCTACATTTGATTGTTATCAGAAAATAACAATGATCGAGCCACATGAAAACACAATGATTGGCTATTTGAAGAAATAATAAAGTTTTATAGAACGATTAACGAGGCACGTGCCAATCAGAGTGAAATCTACCGAATGCTGATTGGATGGTAGCTAATACCAATAGCAACAAAATATTCTAGTTTGCTACAACAAAAACCAATTAAAAGTTACGTAAACGAACACGTTTTTTTTCTTTTTTATGTTCGAAGCGTGTGATCTATACGGCCATGCCTTGAAGTGAGATTTTAAAATTGGATTTATGTTAGGCAAACACTATTATGTCATATTTAGTATAATCAATAAATGCTATTTTGCGTTATTTATTATGTTGCAAATACAATTAATTAAACCATTTAAGTAAGAACAGTAGGTACGTATATTTCTGAAAAAAAAACCCAAATTATTTTATGTTCTTCATAGGCAATAGGCTCACCCCCTATTACATGGGACTCATAACATAAATAGTGAAAAGTGGGCATTACTTCTGTGTGCACCTCTGCCTACACCTTCGGGGATAAAAGGCGTGATGTTATTTATGTTCTTCCTTAACTTAATGGATTTCTGTTAATAAAGTCCTATTTATAATGTAATATTAGGTACACATTGCTGACGTGGAACAATAGTATAAATGGATGGACTATATTCCGATAAAATCAATATAGATTCTATGGAAAATGAGTAGGTACATATTTGTACAAATGTACACACACATGACCTATTCTATTGTCGTGTGTTACTCATAAATGTGACCTAAATCACATTAAGTACGTATTTTGTGTATTTTTATTTTTTAAAGATCATATCTATCACGTTTTTTTATCCCTAATAGCGGTAGGGAATTAGGGAGTGAGTGCACTATACCTGCACATAATAGTTGTATGTTGACAGTGCATTGAAGACATTCAACCTGTATTGACATGTACTTTATTTGAAAAACTCCCTCTAATTAATCTCCCGGTGAGATTCTATTAACAGTCCTCTTGTGTGAGCTATTATAGGCTCGCACAACTACGTCCTACAGGGCTTGTACACAAAACTGCGATCGCGTCGACGTCGCATCGGAAAAATATGTGAGCTCCCTCTACGCATGGCAAGAACTGGCGAATTGAGTCGCATCGCGCATCAAAATCTTATCTTCCCAAAATTTTTGTTCTTTGTTTCTTTTTCCTGTATCTCCTAAACAATAACAAAAGTGCACACTTCTGTTTACGATCCTTGTCACGACCCAATTTTCAATTTAAAATACGTTTAGTACGTTTGACAGTCGTCCAAGGAATGGTCCCCTTAGTTGCTCAAAATTTTCGTAATTTTCTGCGTTGTGAATTCGCATCCCATCGCATCGCAGTTTTGTGTACAAGCCCATAATCAAATTGGTTGCTAAGCACTTCTAATGATACTGACAAACGTGCGCATCGGTAATATTAGGATAAGTATAAAGAATTACTAACTACAATTTCATGTTACACCATATTTTGTAATCAATTTACCTTATAATATATTAAGTAGACACTTTACAAGAACTTTAGACGTAATTATAATTGACTTTATTGACGAGCTGACCTGACAAACTTCGCACTATAACAAACATTTATTTTTAACCTTTTAAACCTTCTCTGAACTTTTACAAATAATTCAAGATCGGCCCAGCCGTTTTCGAGTTTTGACGAGACTAACGAGCAGCAATTCATTTTTATATAAAAGAATAATGTTACTCATAAAGAGTTTTTTCAAATAACAAACAGCATTCAAACTACTCATTGCATTGTCCCAAACAAAAAGGATAGTTTTTAAAGTAAGAATCTAAATAAATATTGAAGGCTAGTTACATTTATGTCGACTTGAAGTGTCAAGGACATTGTGTTCTATTATTCAGGTAGACTGAAAGTCAGACAGATAGGTTTTAATGTTTAATGACTTGGCATCGATCGATCACATACACCTGTCCTTCGGCCCCCACATTCCTTTCAATGTGGGACAATCATCGACTTGATATTCTTTTGTATACTTCGTTCGTATGTAAGTTTCTAATGAGGTTAAATTTTATGTTTATTGAATTATAATATCTGATTATTTTAAGTTCCAGCGAGGTTTTTGCATTTTTATGGTGAATTCAGACGTAACATAAAGTCTAAATACAAAGTACTTAAAAGATGTAGGTACTTATATATTCCACAGTTGTACTATAAGTGCAATCTAATATATAAATAAATCGCGAATGTAAGTATGATTTATTATATACACCTGTGATTTATTAAGAATAACCAACCTCATTGATTGTTTACTTACGTGCAATTTAATTGATTGGCAACATGTAACTGTGTTTGTTTTTATTTTTTTTTAATTCGAAATTGGAATGAAATGCCGTGGGAATCATATCTAGGAACCCATGCCGTCGGCAATGTGCAGTAGACTCGTTCAAGGCAATCGCCTAGTTGTAAACAAAGTTGGTAGCTACCTAATTTGAGTCATAAAACAATAAAACCTTTTTAATTCGAAATATCAGTTCTGCTGCATTCGATTTTTCAACATCTTAAGTCACTACAGGGCCAATATGTATTGAGTAAGCCACATTAGAAAGTTAGGCATATTACCTATACATATACATATACTAGCGGACCCGACAGACGTTGTCCTGCATATAATATAATAAATATAGATAAATAACCTAGATATCGACTGCAGATCCATCTGCCGGGCTGATTTATGAATCTAAACCATCTAGGGCGCCACTCAAACGCATACAGAAAATTCATTTAAATCGATCAATCCGTTTCGGAGGAGATCAATGACATACACACGTACAGCAGAATTATATATATAGAGATGAGATAGCAGTTCAATGGGTTGCAAGTGATTGCTGCATCTCGGTTGTTCGATTCTCTGTCAGCCAAAGTATTATTTGACATGATAGCGATTTCGTAATTCTCAATTGTGCAGCAGACACAATTTGTGTATTACAGTAGG